TTTAGGGTTTATAGGGTTTAGGGTTATATAGGCTTTAAGGCTTTAGGATTTATAGGGTAATATAGGGTAGTTCCCAAAATTAGGGGTACCTTTTTGGGGGTCCCCATAATGAGGATTATAATATTTTGGGGTCTATATTCGGGTCCCCTTACTGCCTTCTATGCGGGATGATTGAGTCTCAGCATGATTTTGTTCGTGAATTTTGTCGACGACATCCCTCCAATGCATTCTGTCTTGCACTAGCTGGAGCAGACTCCCATGCGCGGCTTCCTTCCAACCACCAAAGAAAACCTCCTTGTTCCCCACCCTCCACCCTCTCCTTCCCACAACTGCTTTGAAACTCATAACTGCAACACAGCTTCAAATACCGTTCTTTTCCTGTGGCACGGCGAAGCGATCTTGTTCGGTCCTCCTGGAGAATGTCACGTGCAAGGCGACTACCTCAGCAAGCTGGTGAAGAATCAATGGATTAAACATTGGAACCAAGAGTAAGAAACATGGCATTCGATATACTATCCCCCTTACCACCCACACATGTATATGAATATATATACATATATATAGTATAGTCTCCTCTCAACTCCCCTGAGCCCCTAGGTTCCAACTGGAGGTTCACACCCAAAGCCTCTTGAAAGAAGTTGCTTTGACTTGTCTTCAAAATGTTCGTAAGGCCCTCTGCTTTAATGATCAGCCTTGCGCCTGCTTTCGTGCCCTTTGTGCCGTGCTTCGGGCGTGCCGGGTGGGCGGTGAGGAGCCAAATTTCTGCAACACATCGATCCCACTTGCCGTTTCTCCTTCTTCTTCCTCTTGACTTAGAAGATTTGCCCTTTCTTCGGTCTTTGATGCAGCCCTGCCTATGCTGAACAACGTGTATCTATAGCTCACTTTGAATGACCATGATCGCAAAACGTCTTTTGCCATGCTCGGCGTGGATGCTGCTCTCAGTTTCATTTGTGAAGTTGCAGTCGAACGTGCATCAGCATCAAGCCTCGATTAGCTTGAGGTCGGCAGTTGACTGTTCTGCGCTGCACTGCTCGAGCTTTGTGAATCTTCAAGTGCCACGGTTCAGCAAGGGCGCTCTGAAAGAAAAGCCAGGCATGCCCAAGTTCCTGTGAAACACACAAGGTACTCTTAATAGAAATGGTAATGGTAATAGTAATAGTACTGGTCCCTGGTAATAGTAATAGGAATTTTTATTATTAGTAAAGTAGTAGTAGTAATGTGAACCCTGTAAGGGAGACTGGAGGGAAATCTGGGGTGCCAGCTCCAGAGGCTGCCACCTGCAAAGAAAAGTTTGTGTACGCCATTGATCCTATTTTTACTACTGTTACTATTACTATTACTACTGGTACTAGAATGAGCATTATAATCACTTAAAATAAGTTTCTCATGGTCAGGAAGTCCCATCATTTGCTATATACATCCATGTATCCATATTATCTGTTGCGGTGACCTAGTTCGAAGTCCTTAACTGCAAACAAGAGTGCGTGTACTCTGAGACTCTGCGACTCCTTGGCTGCAGTGGCCTCGCCCTCAAGGATGGTTCCGTTCGAACCAACCACCTTAGAGAAGTGCTCAGCTTCTTGAATTCAGTTTGCGCAGAACATTGCGGATTGTTCGTAATAAATCCTAAATCATGGAGTGACGCAGCCTCCAATCTTTTTGCCTGCATGCTCCCTGAGATACAAACCACATCCACGACAGAGCTGCCGAAGCATTTGCCATCCCAATCACCTGAAAGTCAGTCTATCAATCATGTTGAAAGATAGCAGTTGCCAAATCCAACTCAGCAACAGGCGCTCTGGAACAGGTTTTGTTGCCAAAGCAAGATTACAGTAGGCACCTTTGCTTCGTGGAGCACTCGCTGAGGATCTGTGACTGTGCTGCTCTTCTGCTGGGCACCCGAGGGCAAGGTGGTGTTAATACCCTGCAGCCGCCATGGCTTGTCTGGTCCACTTTGGGTCACCCTTGGCTGGCGCTCAAACTGCACGCGCCACAGAATGTGAGCCATGCAAAATCTTCAACATAGCTCTTGGGGTGCATGCCAGTTGAAGCCACGGCTTAGCGCAACAAAGGCCGTTTTGTAGATGCCTTAGCTCTGCTAGATGCAGACAAATCTCGCAAACGTCAAGAACCCTGATCTCCCCTGATCACAGATGCAAAACACGTGGAACATCCCAGTCTGCGGCTGAAAGCCACACGCCCACGAGCATCAGACCAGGTCTGATTCACCTAACTCTTAGTTGAACGGAAAGAAGTGCTGTCTTCGGGAGCAAGCAACTTCTGAAGCCCCGGCCTCCGCAACCGGGCCAAGCAGAAGCTTCCGAAAGCGGATGAGGCCGGGAACCCCCTCGTAGCAAAGCAGCTGGAATCATGTCTCGCCTTGAGGCTTCGCGGCTGGCCTGCCAGCGATGTTCGCAGACCTGATCAACCAAGCGCGCGCTGTTCGCAAGCTACTTCGCTGACATACGATGACGCCACATCGTGTCTTGCATGGCCCCGCACCCAGGGGTGCTCAGTGTCCTGATACAAGGCATCGCAAAGCACCATCAAGGAACAGGGGTTGTGTGGCGCACTCCAGACGCCTCGACTCATGTAGACGAGTGCATAGCAGTTGTTGCGAGCAGAAAGACGAGACGATATGAGACCATGCATCTCTACGGTTTACTTCCGGCACCATCCTGATCGTATAGCTCCGTCACTGGAGATGTGCTCGGGGTTGCTCTACAACTCCTGCTGCCAACAAAGAGTCCGGAAACCCTCAGCTCAGAATCATTGGGCCGTCTCAGGCCGCAACCCCAGGGGAGAGCTTGGGAGGTCATGCAAGGAGTCGTTCTGTACACCAGGAGGCCCTTGATCAAAGTCCTCCCATGCCTCGCGAGTGAGTGTCAGACTTAGGCTGAACAAGCACTTGGCTTGGTTCTCTGAGAGTGCGGCGTAGGAAGACATCAGCCCTGCATCCAAAACAAACGCCAGCCGTGCAAGCTAAAACTTGATGAAAGGCCATCCGCCATCGGAAGAACATGCCAGTTCTTCTCACAGCATCTCCATAGGGCCAGGCCTGTCACAGGCTTGAGCGTATTTGAGCGAGTGGTCACTGAACAACATGTGACGAATGAGACGCCAACCAGCATGAAGAGCTGCGCGAGGTTGTACTCCAAACCTCAAGCACCAGCAGCATTTGTAGCCCTGCTTGGCTGATGGGCTGAGCTCGATGCCATGTTTGTAGATGGGGCGGCAATCTGCTGTATCCTGACAAGTTACTGCTGCACCTGTGTGACCACCTTGCCGCACTGGGATATGACAGACTTGCTGAGTTGAAATGATGAGGAAGCTGCCTTGCCGTCCCAACCTCACGTGTCAACAAAACATGCTTGCAATGTTCAATTTAGAAAACGACTTAACGCCCATGCTAAGCTCACCGCGACACACCGGGCTACTTGGAGGGCCGCCCTTCTCTGGCTTCCACAGCTGTCGTTGCTGATCATGATTGTCCACCTCAGAGTGACTCCATCTCTGGCCACTGCCAACCCAAGGAAGCCAAAAGGAGGCAGGCACAACAAGATCAGCCCGTCAGAGTACATGCATTTGCCTGCCACTTGCCTGGTACTTCATTTACCATGAGATGGACAGCCAGATTGGCTAGATTCCCTTGTGAACGTAGGCTTGCTTGCCTATAGGTTCACCTGTCAATGAATTATGCCTCTGGCCTTTCGCATCATGCTGTGTCCCAAGCGTGCAGTGGCCCTGGAGTTTGAGGGTGGCTGGGCAAACAATTCTACTGGCCGTCTAGCTGTTGCCTTCACATACGCCAATCCCAGACTCAGGAGCGGGCGAAAAGCAATGCGTGCTCCTTACGACATTATGCAAGGCCCGGCTACAATCTGCACCCAGGGAGAATACTGAGTGGTCTTTCTTGCTACAGTCAAGCCGGGACAGAGGCTGGCGGGTAGACGGTCTTGCAAATGGCATAGTCCTCGCGTAGCTCGCACACACGAGCGAGAAAAAAAGGTTGCAGCATGAAGCCTTGGCAGCTTCTGCTGCTTCAAGGCACTTCAATTATTGTTGCCCAGAAAGCGTGCCAAAGTTGCACAGTCTGCTGACGGCGATCCAATGTGCAGCAGGTCTGCAAAGTTGGCAGACCTAATTGCAGCATCTCGCAAAATACAAGGTTGCAACATGTTCGCTTGCAGTGCATGTTTACCGGCCTGTTCTTCCATTTGCCATTCTCCCAAGAGTCGAACAAGACCTGCTTTTCGGCAGCATCGCACATGTTGTGACAAGTTTGCCCTGCTTGCTATACAACTACTACTGATCAAAACCACTGCCCCATGTGAATGTCCCTGCAAGGTCTTATCCCGAAGGTCTGCATCGCACACTTGTTCCGAAGGGGCTGGATTCTGGATCGTGATTTGTTTCAATCTGCTTATACAACAGAGTCACGCTGCACGAAACGCATCTGCTGGACGGAACAGGAATGCCAAAAAACAGATCAAAGAGAATGTATGATGACAAGATGCCAAAAAGTCAGTCGGGTTTGCCAGCACGGCATGGTCTTCCTTATGATTGTCTGGAATGGAGGGGTCTGGAATGCACTACGGGGACTTGTTCCGGATCTCTGCATCGGGGATCTGGATCGGGACGTCAGTTTCCCCTTGTGATGCTGGAAGCCAAACTCATCATGTCTCGAAATTTCAAGAGAAAGCAAGGCTAATTCACAGACCTACGTGGATTTGGCCCACTGAGCAACTCTATAGACCGAGCCTGCGCAAGCTGTTGGCCGAAGTCGAAGTTGGTCAGGGACCTCTGTCGACAGACTGTCAACACCGCATTTGCACGCAAGTGAAGCTGTTTTGATACATAATCCCGGAAGGCACAAGACCTGTACCAAGTATATTGGCAGGTGAATTGTCACTGCAGATCCAAGGGGAGACTAATGCAGCAACGACGGCGCAACCTAGGTCTCTGGCCCAACGGTGGTGGCTTTGCGGAGAGTATCCTGTTCAAACCTTGCTCCAGTACAGGTTTCGTCTTAGAACAGAAGGCGGCGGCGAAATTCTCACATGCTCACATAAAGCTTTTTGACTCAGGACAAAGCTTCAGCGGGCCAGGAAAAAACTCTTGCACCTGATTGAAGTTGTAGTTGCTGAGGACATGATACATAATCCGGAAGCATTGTAGCAACACAAAACGAGGGCCGTGCTATGTAGCTGAAAGGGAACGGGGCCAGCATCTTGAGAAAAGACTCTGGGTAGACCTCGCACGTGAGTGATCTCTGCAACCTTTCTGTGGGCCTTTGTCGACAAGAAAGCAGCACGGGCTGCCGGCATGCATGGCGGCATCTAAGCGCAGCCTTACTAGCAAGGGAACTCTCACGAAGTGCTCTTGGAAGTTGAGAGCTTGGAAGATCTAATCAGCGTGACTGTCATCCTGATTGAAGCACCGAGTTTCCAGCATTGTCACGCCCCTTTCAAACAACACCTGCAAGGCAATTTGGTGTCAAGGCATAGGGTTTCGCTTACTTCGCATGTCGCATGCAGTGTGAAGACAGCGTGCAAATCCGATAAAACGGCACCTTCAAGTAGTTCTGCAGCTGCTGCTGAACCACCACCTGAGCTAGCCCTCCAGTCCCAGGCAACATAAGCTTGGCTGAAACGATGTCTGGACACGCTCTCCGTGTTGAGGTCGACCAGGGCATAGAGATCGCACAAGAATCGGTTGTTCGTCCATGGCCTTGCTCTACTTTCAGCCAAATGTGGTGCAACACGGGTTGGCGACATGCGAGGTTCAGCTTCTCACGGCAGGCCGCAGTTGGACTCGAAGTTTCCTGCTGCGCTGCCGATTGTGCTCTCCCTTTTGTTGCACACTACTGCTACACTGTTGACTTGTTTGCACCACTGAGACCTCCAGGGTCTTACTCAAATGCTGCCTATCTTGAATGTCCGCCTTCGTAGTGATGAAAGTCTTGTCTCTCAAAATAGTCCAGGCCAAGCGTACCTTGACGCGCAGCCGCCAAGTCTAACGCATGACTAAAGCTTGAGTAGCGGGCCGTGTCGAAACTCCCGATTGCTGTAACCTGTGCCAGACCAGCCTCAGCACAGGTGATGTGGTACTTTCCCAAAAATGGGGGAACCCCAATTTAGACCCCAAAATACTATAGTCCTTATTACGGGGACCCCCAAAAAGGCATCCCTGATTTTGGGAAACCCCCATGTCCCTGCGCAGCTCTCACTTCAGAGGGCCCTGCCCACGCAAGGAGCGGTTGATGATGTCGGCGTCTCCTGTTTCGAGTGAGAAAGAAGCTTGCGCCAAATGGCTTTCCCTTCCGGGTGCTGAAGGCGAAGCATGCAAAGCTTAAGGTGCTTCACGTGTTCCCTCGATCTCCAACTTCTCAGCTCCCGTGTGCCTGTGACTGGCCGCACTTCTTCCCACGATCTTTTCTCGGGCTTTGAACCAACGGTGAGGCCTTTGCTGAAAATGGTACATGTCTGAAGGCAACCCTTTGACCTTGCAAAGCTTCTCCACATCTCAGTTTGGGGCCATATGATTCAGAATCGCATCCACCATGATGGACACACCGGCGTTCTGACACCTGCAGGGGTCTTGCGGTGGCAGCTTGCTTCACTGTAACGGCGGTCACCAGCTGCTAGGGGATTTCCCAGCATGGCCTGGTTATCATGTCAGAGAACTCTGCTGGTGTGCCCGACCGCGAGTCCAGCTTGAATGAGACAGGTTGATACCGTGTTGACCAGGAGTCTCCCAGCACATGTTCAGTTGGCGGCGAGACCTGCACGGCAGTGAAGCCTGCAGGTCCTAGGTATGTCTCACACTCCTCTGCAATGGCAGGCCATGGCCACTCAAAAAGGTGCACGATTATGTGATTTTGCCTTGACATGTTGCAGTGTCGTGACCAAATTTCGCCACCAACCAATGGCTCATCAGGCGACGCTTCCAGAAACTCTTGCTCACAGTTCCAAATTTGACACCTGCCTTCTTCCCAAAACACAAACGTGTTTCCATTCAGATGCATCATACGCTGATGACAGTTGAACTTTCCAGTAGTGCTTTGGCCGAACATGTTCTTTCCATAGTGGCCCTGTCCAAAGTCAGCAAAAGTGTCTGCAGGCCGTTGGTCAGTCTCATCCCTGATTAAGTGGCACATCTTGTGCGGCAGACCTTGCTGAAGACAGCGACGTGCCGGCGCAAAAGGTAAGGGCTCATGTATCAAAAATAGTTCGACCGCCAACGCACCAATGGCCAGTGCACAGCCACAAGCCACAGCAAGCCTTGGAGGCAATCGACGCAGGGACATGGCGTGCTTCGCGGAGAAAATCCGGATTGCTCTGCAGAGACCGCAGCGGTTGTTGTCTGCACTTGCTCGGCGAGGAGCGTCCCGATACAGGGAGCTTGAAGATGCGACCCCAAGGTCTTGGCGAATGCAAGGTGCTGCAAACATCTGTACCACGTATTGGAGCAAGCAGAGGGGCACTACAGAAACCAGGGAGGCATTCGCGAGCTCTTTCTCATTGTCGGAGATGAAGGTGCTTGCACGTCTTCTTGCAATGAGCTCGCAAAGAAAAGGTGACACGAAACTAGCCAGGCCCTGAAGAACCACAGAAATTGTACCATAGCTAAGGAGCCGCCATCTTGAATTAAGCACCCGAACCTTGACTGCCCAAGCAGAAGAGGAACGAATTCCTTCAAGGATGAGTGACAAGCAGCAGATTGCCAAAGCAGTATCCGAACGCCCAAAGAATGTGAAAGTCGACACCTCGTCCTGAACTATCGCGCGCAGCATAGGAGCTGGTGGCAGCAGTAGTGTTATACCAATCAGCAAAGCAAGACCGTGAACCATCGCATACTCGAGCGCTCGTGCCCAACAGTATGTAACAGCTGCTAGAAGCAAAGCAAAGGCAAGGCTTAACCATGCCAAGTCTTCGCCCTTCCAGCCGTTGGCAAACCACCAGCGGATGTAGCAAGTGCTTGGGAAGAGGGCCAAGCAACCCAACACATCCGAAAGTGACAAAATGATGAATGTTCGTCGTTTCCAGAATAAGCCTAGCTCCCAACCGGGGAGCCGATCCTCACGATAGGGACCGGGCGCGGCCAAGAACAGTGCTCCTGGGACCAGGGTTGTCAAGAACGTGACGAAGGCGACGGGCGTAAGGAGAAGAATCACCGATGCTGGCAACGGCTCCTCCTTTGAGCCGATCTGGGTGGACGGCGATGTGAGGAAGATGTAGCCGGTAATCAGCCAAGTGACCGCGTATCTGACCATCTCCAGTATACCCATTCGTTTGGCTGCATGACTGATGTCTGCTTTGATCGAGAGCATGAAGTTGAATGCCACAAATAGGAGTGAACCGGAACTAAACAGCCCTTGTAGGAAAACAAGTGCAGTGGCCAAAGACACGTCTGGGCGGTGAACCACCAGCATCGTAAGGAGGATGGGGACCTGAAGCAGCATTGCAGCTGCTAGCAGTCGCCGTGGCTGTATCCACACTGCAGCCCACGTCCACAAAGGCGCCCCCAAAATGGTTGCCAACGCGTTAGTTGAAAAAAGCAGCATGTTCAGAATGGGTGGGTCTAGCCCGCCATTTCCAAATACCGTTTTGAACCAGGGAAAACGCTTGAACCACTCTGGAAGATCTGTGGAACCACGAATGCCCCATTCAGTGGCCACAACTAGAATCAGCAAGGAGGATAGCGGGCATGCAATGTACCCACACGACACTAACCAATGTATTCGAGCAGTCCCTAGCCAGTGTCCAACAAGCCACTTTGAAGTGGTGCGCGTTTCATGCTCCATGTCCCTGTCAGAGCCAATGCTTCGTAGAATGGTCTCGATGTCCTGGTCCATGATGTCCAGTTTGGCTCGAACAAGCACATTCAGCTCTGCTTCAGAGAGTTCCTGGCGAAGGATGAATTCTTCACACGGCAACTCGCGAGAATCGTGATGGCTCTCCAGGTAGGAGTCACAGGAGACGATGCCTGGAGACTCTGAGCGCTCAGAGACCTCCGCGTGTGAGTGAGATGGAAACCAAGTGGTTTGCAATCGGCCTGAGGAGCTCGCAAGAGGCCTCGTATCAAGTACCTGCTCATACAATGCTAGCAGTCTGTCCTGCCACTCCTCAACTGGAAAGTTACACTGCAAGGCTTGTCTGGACATTGCACGCAACACATGAGGAGGTGCCCGCATTGCTGCAGAGATGACCGTGCGCAGCTCCCGTCTGAGGCGTCTCAGGCTCTCCCTATTCTGCGCAACATAATAAAACCCTGGGACTTTGCCCAATCCACCTGCCTGCGCACCCACGATCACAGCCCCGCGCCAGGCAAACTCCACATCGACGTATCCAAACGGCTCGTCACGCGATGGCATCAAGCAGTAGTCGCTGGCCCACTTCAAATCCTCTGGCACCTCTAGAAAGGTACAAAAGACGCTGAGCCGCCCCTTCAAGGCTTCCATATCTGCTAGCCGTTCCAGCTTTCGCGCGGCATAAAAACCAAAACCGTCAGCTGGTGGCCCAATGACAATAAGTTGCGCCATAGGGTACGTAGACAGCAGCCACTCAGCCACGTCTGCTAGCAAGTCAACGCCCTTCTGCCTCACAAGGCGGCCCAGCGAAACAAAGAGGCGGGCCTCTGGATTCTCTATCAAGCCGAACTGTCTCTGACAGCGAGCTTTAGCATCCGACTTCTGAGTCTGCAGGTCATGGCTGAGCACTGCTCTCTCCTCCTCCAGCATCGGATTGTCGAGACCCCGAAACTTGGGGAGTCGCCAAAACACACTGTATCTGGAATGGCATTCAGCAGCATAGTACTGAGACACTGCGCAAGCACCCAGACCCTGCTGCTTTTCCAGTAGAAAATCCACACCGGCTTTCAACATATTGAAGCGCCCTTCGAACAAGAGATGCTGCTTTACAAATTCCTGCGACACATTGAAGATTTGCGCCATGACCTGAATCTGGCTTGATGATAGCATGTCTGTGGCGATGGACCCCTGGTACTCTGCGTTATGAAGCACCAGCACCATCCGCAGCTGTGGGTAGGTAGGAGCTGCATACCAAGCCGCAACGGCCGAGTGAAAATCTGGGCAGTGAAACACGTCTGGGCAATATCTCCTCAGCAACATACCAACACACTGGTTCCATAGGGAGAAAAACTGGAGCACCTTTCTGCGAGACAGAGGATTTGGATACAGGGATTGCCTTTCGCGCGCCTCAAACCAAGGATGCGAAAGCAAAAGAAAATGCCGGCGAACGCTCTCCGGCTCCACCCGCTGTGAGCGGAAAACTCTGACTACCTCCAAGCAGCCATCCACCTGAACTTGGAGAGAAGCTTCTTCTGTATCCATACCAGAGTACTGCACTCTCTGATCCTCTGCAATCTTGGGGTGAACCATAAGGATGTCGGTTGGATGATGTTTGGCGATTAAATCCATGACCTTTCCCAGACCTCCGGCAACAGCCTTGCAAGAGGGCAGGTGCGGCAAGGAATGCTCCAGAGAGGCCAGCATCACTCGCAAATGAGGGGTGCTGTCACTGGCACGTGTCCTTTCCGCATCGGATGCTGCAGATGTGCTAGAATCGCTGGAGATGTTGAGTAAAGGAAGTGAGGGTAATTCTACGCCGTCCTCTTCCACGATTGGGGTCGTCACGCGTCGTCTGCGTGCGCAGAATTCAGCTAACCAGAATAAGAGTGAGGGCAGCGGCCACAAAATGCAGAGCCAAATCGACAATATTGGAAAGGGCACCCCATCATCCAAAATGAGCTTGCTGGGGTCGAGGTACTGTCTCCACATCTTACTAACAGCATGCCTTACCTAGCTCTTTGAGCAGAAGCATTGCTGGTCGGACGAAGGGCTCTTGTCGCTAGACTATCAAAGTCCTAGTGACTCCCCTCCCCCTAATATTCAACCCCCACCCCCTAATATAAAAGAATCCAAATATGCCAAAATATACTATAATGGGGAGTATAATGTTAAGGGGGCGGGGCGGTCGCATTTTGGGGTGAGGGGATTAGAAGATGCCAGAAGCACTCCCCCAAGTCAACCTGAAAATCAAGAGGCTTGCAAGGCAGCAGCTGCTGTGCCTTGCGCATGTGGGTCGTTCTCGAAATTAGGGGCACCTTCTTGGGGGTCCCCATTATGAGGATTATAGTGTTTGGGGCCTCTATAAGAATAGTAATATGGGTTGTTCTCAAAATGATGGGCCCCATTTGGTTATAGGTTATAGTACGGCACCAAATACTTTGGGGGGGACCCGTACCCGAAATGGTACCTTATCTTTGGGAACTACCCATGTGACACATCAGCACAGGGGAGCTGAAGCGGCTGCTCTCGCTCAGGCCAAAGCAACCAACCAACACTCCTATGCAGAAAAGGTTGTGCCCGGTACCTTGATGTACGTATTTAGACGCCCGTGGCTTACTTTGGCCTACTTCTCATCCTTTGGCTTCGCTTGGCTGTGCCAAAATGCTCCAAGGGACACTGTGGGTGATCTCTAAGTCAACTGTATCATCCTAGAACTAGCCCCTTAAGAAACGTCTAATGCAGCTAAGTCATTTCTTCAAGCTCTAAGGGTGAGTCGTCTCTAATGGCAATGCAAACTCCTATACAAATGATTTACAGGCAACGCGATTGTTTTTGGCGCGCTCTTCGTGGCTGCTGTCGAGTGGCTGAGCTGGACCTTAGTAAATTCAATCGCGTGTCGTGTTGACCCTCGGTTGAATGCTGCGCGTTTGTCATTTCAGCTGTCGTCATCATAGTTGGAGGTCATAAGAGACGTGACATGTCTGTCCTTGTAGCACTAGCAAAGTTACCCCCTTTTTTTGGGCAACCCCCAGTAGTAGATTCGGCTCGGAGTAGGGTCGCGTGCTTGGTGTCTCATTGCTTCTCACGGAGAAGAATAAGAATATCAATCACTGTAAAAACAATAATAGTAATAATACTAATAAGAGTAATAGTAATAGCAATTACAAATAACAGTAACAGTAGTAGAAATACGAATAAGTACAGAAGTTGAGATCCAGATCTTTCCGTTGCATCAATGGCCAACTGCTACTCCTGCCATGTATCCTTCCGCTTCCATTCGTTACTACTGCCACTTGTGCTGATACACCACTGCTACCGCGACTTGCATTCTTACTACTCCATACTAATCCTCTTTTTGCTGTTGCTGCTGCTATCTCTGTGTATTGCCTTTCGAGCTCCAAACTTTCGTGCTGTCATTGCCAGGCATGGCTTGTCTAGAAGCTAGAAGAACTGGTTGGAAGTGCATGCCTGAGAACAGCACGAGGTCTGCCTCAGATTGGGCGAGGTTTTAGCTTGACCACAACTGTCTCACCAGCTTCACCAATCCTGGACAGCATCGTCAGAAAGCGAAACTGCAAGCGGCTGCAATCAAACTGCTGGCATCACACTGCAACATTCTTGCACGCTCACAAATTGCAGGCAGCAAGTTTTCTACGTCGGCAGAGCGGGAGTTATCATCAGATTGCAAGCGCTCCCCTGCTTGCAGCTCAGGCGACAACCGAATTCAGGTGCAGCAAGCTGCACTGATAAATCAACACTTGCATGCAACCGCCCGCAACTAAAGCGGGCTACCAACAACCTGCTTTGCAGAGCTGTGCGCAGAAAGAAGATCCGCTGGGGATATGAAGCAAAAGTCTAAGCTGTCCCGCAAACGAGCATCTCGAGGTGATGAGGAAATGACGATTTGAAGCGCACTGCTGCTGAAGTGCACTATACCATTCGCATGCTGCTCGAACACAACGTTCTGAACGGCCACAGGCGCTGGCAACTTTGCTAATTTTGCTGCAGAGAGTGCTTCAGACGCCAGCTCGTCCCAGCATGTGCGAATGTCATTGAGGCGAGGCACATTCTCAAGCTCGAACTGGGACTTGCTGACGGTCTGCTGCAAGAATATCTGGCAAACCTTTTGCGCCGGCGTGAGCAAGGATAGGCTACAAGAAACACGACCACCGGTCGTTCTTCTCATCTTGGATGCCTGAATTGCCACACCAACCAAGTCGCAGTAGAAGCCTCTGAAGTGTTCAGCTGGTAGCGGTTGAGGATTTGAAAAAAGCGGCGGACCTGATACAGGGCTTCAGTAAACAACAATTGCAGTTTCTGGCTGTCCTGCGTCTTGCACATAGCCGCGTACCATCATGGAAGTGATGCACATGATGGAAGAGCCAATGCGGTTACGTAAGGCCAGGACCTGCACCGAATGGCGACTGTAGCAGGGGCGAATTCGCTTCACATCCTCCGGGAGCTTGATGTTGCAGCTGTGTGTTCCTGCAGTGACAAGCAAGTTTTGAACTATAGGCGAGGGGCGGAGTTCCTGCCTGTTGCAGTAGATTCGGTTGAGACCACACGCGAATTCGTTGACGGCTGGCTTCCTGAGTCTGATGGCAACATAATGTATCTTAATGTCATAGTGATACGCTTCTGTGCTGGTGCCTCAGGCTGCTCAACCGTATGCGGTCCAACCGCTTGAGAGAGTCCTTGCCGCTCGGTGGGGGACCATGGACGCAACATCTTTGCAAGCGTCCTCCTCCATGAATGCTGTCCCAGGTAGTGCCACTATGGCCATAGAGGTCCTGAAGAGAATAGTGTATATAGGGGTATAATATTGGGATTACATCGGGATAATGGAAAATAGAATGGAAACTACTATATTATGAGGGTATAATATAGCAAGGAGATGGTCTGGTGATTGTCTGTCAGAGCTCTACTGAACTGAGCAAAACTGTTGGTGTCCACCAGGCACCGCCAGAGTGAAGAACTGCTTGAGCGTCGATCACGATGACCTGGCAAAATATCAAACTGAACATTACTGACACTTGAAGAAGGTGCCGATCCGAATTGCATCGGGGCTCGACGCCTGCATCTGAAATCTGCTAGGATCCGAGCTGGAGTTTCGGGCCTGGAGCACTTAATTTCAGCCGTCTGACTGCACTTCCGAAGTGGCCGAGCACCCACCTGGCCAGCTTCAGTGCACTGCGCCTGTTCGGCCTGCAACATGGGCGAAGGCGTACCATTTAAAACATCCAAGCGTGAAGGAAGCATGGAAGCGTCCATCCTCCCAAATGCGTTGCTCTTGCGAGATGCTCCGCTCTTCAAGCAGATAAGAAGCGCCCGATTCGTGCTCCACTCTTCTCCAATGCCGTACTACTGGAGGTAGCATGCCTCATGTGGACACAGGGCAATGGAGAAGAAACTACAATCTACAAGTAGAAATTGTAGGCTGTTGAGTTTCCACACGCTCAGCGCCTGACGTACAACAACTGCGTCGAGGCTTGGGATAAGCGCCGCCCCTGCCATAACTCGCCAAACTACATTGTTGTAAGCTGCTGTTTCGGCTGAAGCTGATGAGCCGACAGCAGCCTCTTTCCAGCTGGCTGATTCTTGCTGGAGGGAACCAGCCCTGTCATGACGGATGCAAGCTTCGCATAATGCTGCGGGAAATCGTGGGATGATGCGCGAAGCTTGGGCCCCCTACACGCTGGAAACCAAGGCGGAATTTGGATGAAGCAGGGCGGCAGCCACAGGCTCTCAAGTGAAGCCTGCCAAAGTGGCAGGCAACGGTGGATGCTAAAAATCTCGCATGACCCGAAGGACCTTTTAAATACCTTGGGAATCATAATATTACATACTACTATCTACGATTATATAGTATTACATAGTAGTACATAGTATTCTAGTATTATATAGCATTATACAGTACTATATAGTACTATAGTACTATATAGTATTATATAGTACTATATAGTGTTATATAGTACTATATAGTATTATATAGTACAACATAGTATTATATAGTATTACTTGCTCCAGCAAGGCCTGGTCTGGTCTGGCAGCTTCATAGGATCACAGCCATCTACTGGGAAGTTCACAGCGCTGGCCATGCAGATGTGCAAGCGCCTCAGATGCAATGTAGGGGTTATAGGGGTTATAGGAGATAATTTCAGGGCTTATAGGGGTCGCATAGGGGTTATAGGGGTCAATATGAGAGGGTTAATACAGGGTTCATATACGGGTTATGTGCGTAGGACCTCTCTGCGTTATGTGAGTATTCTTTTCTTTATACACTTATATCTAAAAATAAACAAGGATTGGGTTATGGTTTTAGATTCCTCTGGCCAGGAAGCCCAAGATTTTAACAAAATTTAAGAAAAATCAACAATCCCCGTCCTTCTAAAAAATTAAAAATTGTTAATTTTTTTAAAATCTTGGGCTTCCTGGCCAGAGGAACCTTTGTAAATTTTTAAAATTTATAAAATTTTTGAAATTTTTAAGAATTTTAAAAAATTTAAAAATCTTTTAAAAGGACGGAGATTTTAAAAAAAAATTAAAATTTTTGAAGATTTCAAAAATTTTTACAAATTTCAAAAATTTT